GGAAGGAAGGAAGGAAGGAAGGAAGGAAGGAAGGAAGGAAGGAAGGAAGGAAGGAAATATTACTAGGCTCAAACTGATGAGAACACTCTCCACCTCTCGATAGCATGCATAAAACTATATTTAAATAATTCTTAATACTGAGAAGCTAAGATAATCGGATCATCTGAACTGTATTCTTTACAAGAAATTGGAAACACTTCATTTCTTAAGACTATGTTAACGGGGTAGACACACTTCTACATTATAAAATAAAAATTTCAGATTTAGAATTTAAGCTAATTATCTAAATTGCAACACTTGACATGTATCATTTAGATGAGGAAGGAAGAAAAATGAGAAGCATGAAAGCACTTATCCCCAAGATTAACTTCAATTTAGATCCTAAACACAAATAAAACAGCATAAGCAGAGAACAAAGTTACAAACTGAACATAGGATGTTTAACTTCGGAGAATGTATTCTGTGATAAACTAGTCCCTTCAAAAAAAATCTACCCTAAATATTCACTCTTTTCATTGTCTTATTTCTTGTCTTATTCTTGTTTAAGCTAAAGTTTTAGCCAAGATTGGGCCTCCATTGGATAAGTAGCATAGAATGTTATTAAAATCCTGATCTTTCTACTTCTATCTCTCAAGGCTTGGGCTACTACTCCTCACCACCTTTTTTCTTTTTCTTTTTTCTTCCTTTTTTCTTTTTAAAAGTAGACCAGACTGGACTTGAACTCAGAGATCTGCCTGACTCTGCCTCCAGGAGCACTGGGATTAAAGGTGTACACTACAGCTAGGTTTGATAACTGCCTCCCTGAGCTCTGGGATTACAGTGCTCAGGGAGGCAGAGGCAGGCAGATCTCTGTTAGTGCAAGGCCAGCCTGGTCTACAAATGGAGCCCAGGACAGCCAAGGCTACACAGGAAAACCCTGTCTTGAAAAACAAACAAAAAAAGTTATGTGTTACTACACCTGGCTTTTGGATTACCACTTTTAAAACAAAATCAAAATAGCAACTACAAGAACAGCCCAAAATGTCTAATCTATTTATGGTAGTCCGAATGTAACTGACCCTACTAGGCCCAAAGGAAATGGCACTAGTAGGAGGTAGAGCCTTGGTGAAGGAAGTGTGTCACTATAGGGATAGGCTTTGAGGTCTCATATGCTCAGACTAAACCCAGTGTGGAACACAGGGTCCTGTGCTGCCTGTGGGAAAAGAGAGGGAGAGAGAGAGAGGGTGGACACAGGGTGGCAGGCGAGTTCTTAACTCCTGCACACCTGGCGCAGGTGAGAACGTAAGACTCGGGTGACACAGAACATTGTCAGGGTCCCTGGGAGCAGGCCCGTTGAATTGCCTGCACACTGGGATAACAGTGCCTCTTCACAGCAGGAAAACCCAGACTAACACACTATTTCTTCAGTTGAATAGAAATGTTAAATGGCTTTAGTTTACATATCAGTTTAGCTCAGATGTTTCTGTTGGACTGAACACAAGACCTCAGTAAATATTACATGTCACTTGCCAACAGGAAAACTATGACCTTTCTATAATAAATCACATATACTAGAGTTCTGGAAAAGATGATGTCAGCAAGCACTTATTAAAAGGTTTTTGTTTTGTTTTGTTTTGTTAGCAGTTTAATCATTCTTTAATTGTCACATTGTACAAGATAGTCGACAGCTTCCTACTTAACAAAATAGATTATTATGTTATGTTTCCTGGATAGCATAGCAACAAAAGAATGCAAGCTTTTAGGGAAAGTAACACAACCACTAAAATCTAGATTACACTACAGTATCCTGCAAAGGAATGTGTTCCCTTATGTTGCAATCACAGAAAGAACACAAACCAAAAGCCACTCTCACATTTGCACACAAATCACACTGTCTTTTGGCTAACTCAGGTTAGGGCCCACACACAGGATGCTACGAATTCAGTTTGCCTGAATAATGGTTTCTCAGACCAAAGGAGGGCTTAGAAGCTAAGACTAGGAAAAAAAGCTTAGCAGCTTTAAGCAGTGTTTCCTGCTCCTGGAATTTGGCTACCTTCCTTCAGTCTTTTTTTTTTTTTCTCCTTTCGGTTTTTGGTTTTTTTCAAGACAGGATTTCTGTGTAGCCTTGGCTGTCCTGGATTCACTTTGTAGATCAGGCTGGCCTGGAACTCAGAGATCCACCTGCCTCTGCCTCCCAAGTGCTGAGATTAAAGGCATGCACCGCCATGCCAGCTTTCCTACAATCTTTAACCAGAAAACTTTACAGTAGTTATACCCAATGACTAAAGGCACAACAAGCATTGAATACTATCTGAAAGTTACCCAAGGGCCAGTACAAGCACAGGGCTTTGCCTCGCTGGCAATAATTTATCCAGCCAGCAAAACAATGGGATATTGTGCATTCTCTCAGGTTTAAAACACAAGTTTTAAAATTTGCTAGCAGGTGACAATAAAAAATAGTAATCCTTGGTAAAACACAACAGCTCTTTAGAATTAATTTAGCACAGCTGGTGAATGAATTCGTATTTTCTTTCTTTTTTTTTTTTTTTAAGATTTATTATATATACAATGTTCTGCCTACATGTATGCCTGCACGGTAGAAGAGGGCACCAGATCTCATTCCAGATGATTATGCAGTTGCTGGGAATTGAACTCAGGACCTCTGGAAGAGCAGCCAGTGCTCTTAACCTCTGAGCCACCTCCCCATCCCTGAACTTGTTATTTTCTTATCAGGAAAACAAACTCTCAAGTACACAGTTGTATCATTATTTAGTTCTATTATGAAGACTAATGGAAGAGCAGCACATGGTTCCACACACCTTTAACACCAGCAGTCTTAGAGGCAGATTATCTCTTTGAATTCCAGGACAGCCTGGTCTACATAGCGAATTCCAGGCCCACAGGATTACATTTGACCTTGTATCAAAAGAAAAAGTCAGGCGCAGTGAAGCATGCTTCTAATCCCAACACTCTGGGAGGCAGACTGGTCTACAAAGTGAGTCCAGCACAGCCAAGACTACAAAGAGAAACCCTGTCTTGGGGAGGTGGGGGGAACCACATTAACTTTTCGATTCAAAAGAGATTGAAAAGAAAAACCATAGACAGCTTTTAGTGTTAACTAAAACACATCACCTCATCACCTTGAAATATCTAAAAAAAAAAAAAAAAAAAAAAAAAGCGCATCTATTCCAGGAAATGAAAGCCCATCAAAACCTTGAGAAAAGTGTGACTTTACAATTTCCAATGCTCAGCAAAGATAAAGGAGCCTGTCTTTTCAAATACCAGGAATCACTTACAAATGCTCAGTGTGAATAATCATGCAGGTTCCGCAATAACCTAGGAGTTAACTATTTCCTTTCCCAGTCGCTGTTAGCTGTCCCAAATCTTTGAGCTGTTTTAATAAAAAATATAAAAATAAAAACAAACAAAACAAAACAAAAAAAACCTTAGGCCTTTCTGTGCTCCTGCTGGACCAGGGAGTAGAAAGACACCTGCCAATGAGTTCATCGTCCCGCACATGCTGTGAGCAACCACATCATTGGTGCCAAGGATCAAATGCCCATCCAATGTAGCCAAAGATGACAGACAGGTCACAGGCCAGTTTAATGACCAGTTTAAAACCCATGTTCTCTGCGCCGCCATTGGCAGGATGAATGAGTCAGGTGATTTCATTCTCCGGCGGGCTAAAGCTGATGGAATTGTCTCAAAAACCTTTTGATCAGAAGAGACTGAGAATATTTGTCATAAAAAAGTTAGAAAATAAAAAACCAAAAACAACCTTATCTTAAAATTGTGTACATACATATATATGTACATGTATATATGTGTACACACATGTGGAACTGTGAGCCATGTGTATGAGAGTGCTTTTTTTGGGGGGGTGAGAGAATGAGACAGGATTTCTCTGTGTAGCCTTGGCTGTCCTAGACTTGCTTTGTAGACTAAGCTGGCCTCTAGCTCACAGAGATCCACCTGCCCCTGCACCTCACAGACATCACCTGCCGCTGCCTCCCTAAGTGCTGAGATTACAGGTGTGTGCCACCGCACTCGGCTATGTGAGTTTTCTTAAAGGCCAAAAGAGGGCTTTACATGTCCTGGAGCCAAAGTAACTGGGGCTGTCAACTGCCAGATGTGGATGCTGGGAACTTAAGCAGAGTCCTTTAAAAGGGCATCATGAACCCTTAACTGCTAAATCATATCTCCTTGGAGCCCCTGAATTGTTCATTTCCAAGGAAACTTTTGACTTCTAAGTTAGAAAAAAAAAAAAAAGGCAGAAAGTCACATGCTTTCTCCTCTTCCACATTTTTTTTGCCC